GGAGTTCCGGGGAGGGGCATTTTCTAAAAGCTGGGTCACTGATTCCATCGCAGTCTAAGCTGGTACAAGCAATGCACCTCCCTGGGGGACAGCTGGAAGGGGACACACGTGGCCCATTGTAGCCGGGCCGCGTGGCCTGCTTCTACCAGAGTATCCATTGCAGGGCCCTCGAGACAGAAAGCCCAGCTGTGGAAATGGGAAAAGTGGCTGAGGTTTTGGCTGCATCGGGCAGCAGGGGTTCCCCTCTTTTAGTCATGCTATCCCTTGGCTGGTGGGGAGACAGGCTGACTGACTGTGTGGAGTGGGGGAGAAGATGGCAGCTGAGGAAGAGAAGGAGATCAGGGGAAAGAGAATCTGGCGTCCGCCTTAACTCGGGGACTGCTTTGTAAACTATGGCTGATAACTTGACGCACCAGCTCTGGAGCCATCTGTGACCCACCAGGCTGTAACAGCCCGGTTTCCCTCGTGCTCAGCTCCCCTCCCTATATACTTAGTGTTAAATCATAGAGGGGAGGAAGTGGGACCGCAGGAACACAGTACTATTACATGACCCCTGATGGGACCGCTGTGATAGAATTAAAAGCTGCCGCCCTAGGACATTCTAACAGATGACATTGTGGGGTTGCCAAGGTAACCCACCAGGATGCGGCTCGAGCATCTTTGGGGTTTGAGCTGGCAAGGCAAGGTCAGTTAGAGGTGAGAGCCAACTAGCCCAGGGTCACAACTGTTCGGGCCAAGTGGTGAAACAGAACAGTTACCCCAGGCACTCAAGCAAAAACAAACCCCCCACATTTGCTTCCCATTTGGATATTTAAGCGAAATGAGTACATTTTTTTTTCTGGGAGAATTTTTAATAATCTGGGTAATTGTCACAGTTGACCAATATAGGATATTGCAGCATAATATACAGATTCTGCAAAGTTCTGCAGTCAGAGTACTTGGGAAAGTGGCAGAGAATTTTAGAAAACCTTCAAAATATGTGGAAAAAATGACCTTTACCCAAAGATAAAGTCTGAGAGGGCGAATACTGAAAACATCAGCCTATCTGATTTAAACACTGAACTTAGTCCCAGGGTAAGTGCGGTTAGAATTTTTTTTTTTTTTAAAAAATAGGACAAAAGATTTACTTTAAAGATCCCACTTCAGTCTATATTTTTTCTTATTCTCACTGCTCCCATTTTTAATGTAAGGGGGTATGTCTGGGACCCAGAATCCATATTCCGATATTCACCATATTCTATACTGAAATCACATCCCTCAAAAAGCTAAGTCTGAGAATGCTCCAAGAAGTTTTGAAAAGGCTTGGGGATGTCTTGCTCTGAAATTCTTTGATGATGATGAGGATGACAGTACTATGGTACAAGGACATTAGCAACTAAAGAAAAATCACACACACAAGGAAGAAGATGCTGCCATAACACAGTATCCCGCAGAGCCAGCCCCAGGGAGCAGCTGTACAGAGAGAGGCACTCAGTCCAAAGCAGTCCAGGTCTGCGATGGTCTGAAGCACAGGCTGAGTGAGAAGCCCAGGGCGCCAAAGTGAGTTTCCTTAGCAACTTTCCACCATGGGCTGACGCATCGCCCTCCTGCTGTGTTGGGAAGACAGTGATTAGTTGGGAGTTGGGGCTAGAGCTCCCTGGAGACATACAAGGGGTGGTGGCTGTGTGGGGACTAGTGTCAGGATTATTAATATCTGATCTAGTTCCTTGCTATGTACCCTGCTTTCTATTTTATCAAATGCTTTCTGTCTTGAACTTGAGTGTCTCATGTACTTGTCTGGAGAAGACGATGAGTTTTACTTAACAGGTGACCCACATACCCTAAAAGGGCAGTGAACTTGGGCATGGTCAAAAACTTTTATACATTATGTTGCTGGCGTTTCTTAAGGAAAAACGATTTTTAAAAATAACTGGGGCATTTTATGGATACTATTGCAGGCATTTATATATTATGTTGGTGGCATTAAGAAAAATTGTTTTTCAAAGAGTAGAGCATTTTATGGATTAATTTGGAGAAACTGATACACACACACACACACACACACACACATATATATGCTGGTCGCATTTTCCTAAGGAAAAATTGTTTTTCCAAAAATGGGGCATTTTATGTATTATATTAGAGGCATTTATGTATTATATTGGTATTTTCTTAAGGAAAAACTGTTTTTCCCAAAATAGGGCATATTATGTATTATATTAGAGGTATTTGTATATTATATTGGTATTTTCTTAAGGAAAATTTTTTAAAATGGGGCATTTTATAAATTATGTTGAAGGCATTTATATATTATATTGGTGGTACTTTCTTCAGGAAAATCTTTTTTTTAATGGGCACTTATACACCATATTAGAGACGTTTATATATTTGTACCTTATATTGGTGGCATCTTCTTAAGGAAAAATTGCTTCTGCCCACATGAAAAGTTTAATTTTCTCCTTCAGGAGTACTAGCTGGTGAAGCTCAGACTGCTTAATGCTCCAGTAACTTGATGTGTTAAGAAAAACTGAGAGCCAGCCACTGGGCCTGGGTCAACAGCTCCTTAAAAACATTGCGGAAAAGTGGGTGCTCTGTAAGCTTTCCCAAGACACCTACAGGACTTTCTGGTTGATGCTGTAGGCCTGACATCACAGGCAAGCCAGACTGCAGGAAAACGGATCAAGGAAGAAAAATGGTCAATTAGAATAAAACATGGAGAAAGGTTTCCATCGAGAGCTTTCTGTTTGCAGAGCACTGAGGGAAATACAAAAATTAGGGTCCCCGCCTGGGGATGCAGTGGGGTATGATTTAAAACACATAACACCAATGCCAAACACAGCAATACATGACGATGAGAAGCTGCAGGGAGCAGCGGAGTGAGGGCCAGCCAGCCTGCCTGCGAGTCAGGAAGACTCAAGTGGGAATCTTTCCGCTGATCCAGATCAATCACATGACCCCGGGCTGGTCACTTAACCTACGTCCCATGCAATTTCCTCTGACCTAAGAGTTGCTGATTTCTTCCAGTACAGGAGTTTCCTCGTCATCAATCGAATCACCAATGAAATATTGACAGAAGCCCAAAAGATGAACCAAAAAGTGCATTGTAGTTGACATGAGTTGCCTTAAGGTTTGGTTGGTGAAGGTTTTTTAAGGAAGGGGCTTCATTTCTCCAGAAAAAAAAGTAGTTGAGGAAAGATGGATTTGAGCCAAACAAGTCTGGATTGGAAGAGATGGTGAGAAGAAATGGTGGAAACTGTGCCCTCTCTCTCCCATAAGTCACCAAATCTTCTATAGCCTTTGGCTCAGCCATACCACCTACCACTAGAGCACGTGTTCCGATGCTCCTTCCATACTGGACTGTTCTCTTTGGGGGATCTAGAGGGAAACTGACCTGTGATTTCATCCGAACAGGGAAATGAGTATGCGGAGGAGTGATAGAAGCAGCTCTATCAGTTAGTTATATTAGTAGTCTGACAGCACAGTGGAGAAGGGAGGACCTATTAGGAGGCCACTGCAACTTAATTAAATACATATTTATTAAATGTCTATTATATTCAAAGGCAACGTGCTAGATGATAGAGATAAAAAAAGACAAATGTAAAATGGTCCCTCTCTTCCAGGACCTGGCAAAGCGTTGGGGAGAGGGAAAATGTGATTGTTCATGTAAGTAATGACAGATAATTTCAAAAGTGGGGACATGAACCACTCAGGTAGGAATAAAGAAAGGCTGCCTACAGGTGATACCCGAGCTGGGCTTTAAAGGAAGCTAGGGGACAGGAGGAGAAAAGACATTTCAGACGTGGGATTCCACCTATGCATGGTTTGTTGTATATGGAGAACTTCCAGCAGGCTAATTTAACTGGAGTGGAGATTTGGTTAGAGTATTGCAAATTAGATGGGAAAGGCAGATTTCCTGCGGTAACATCTTCCTTTTGAGATCACTTCCCATACCTTATATGGACATTAGTTAGTTGCATAATGTCTCCCCCATTAGACTGGGAGCTTCTTGAGGGCAGGGACTTTTTTCTAAATTTTCTGTTAGAAAAAAAAAAAACAAACCCAACCACCCCAGAGCATACTATAGCACATGGTAATAGCTGATTGAGTGTCTGAGTGGCTTTAAATACTCTAAGGTGGTTGGGTTTTTATCCTAGAAGCAACAGAGAGCACTAGATACCTGAGTAGGATGTGATTATATCTCTTTGGTGGCTGTGTGTCTATTGAGATAGTGGAAGGAGTGAGACCATTTAAGAGGCTATTGTAATTGTCCTGGTGAGAGGGGGAAGAGAGCCGGAACCAAGATGGCGGCCCCACGAGCGTAGAGAATGGGATTAATGCAAAAGATGTTGTGGGGGTATCATAGACCAAATAATGGCAAATATTGAAGGAGGGGGAGGTGAGGGATGAGGGAAGGGTCAAGGGTAATTCCAAAGTTGTTCTGGAAAGACGGTGGTGGCCTCGATAGAAATAAGGCAATCCAGAGGAAGGACAGGTTTAGAGGAAACTATGATGAGTTCCATTTTGCACATTCTGACAGTTACAACAGTCTAGGTGGGTGGTAATGAGGGAGATGAGGGTGTGGAAAAGCTAGGCAGATAGGTATAGCAGGAAGAGCCCTGGTTCTGTAATCAGAGGCCCTGACTCCGACCTTTCCTATCTGTGTGACCTTGGCAAGTCACATAAACCCCACCCCCAGCCTATTTTCTCATCTGTAAAAAGAGAAAGTTGGTATTGGTCCTTTCCAGCCTTAGATCTCTGTCCTCATGGGTGACTGGACAAATCACACCACCTTTCTGGGCCTCAGTTTCCTCATCTGTAAAAGGAGGGGGTTGGGCTAGGTCACTGCTGAGGTCCCTTCCATCTGTAAATCTATGATCTACTCACCTGGGGGCATTTGTTACCAAAGTCATGAATCAAAACTGAAGGGAGAAACAGAACATTCTTTTCATTTTAACAAAAAGATGATAAACTCAGAGAAACAGTAGCAATTCCAATTGGATCTAGGAGTGGGGCTAATTTACCTTGGAAGAAGATCCATCTTTGGATAGGTCAAGGGACAGGACTCAGGCTTTCTTTGCTCACTGAGAATCACTCCAGTGTCTTTGCCAAGAAAATCCCAAATGGGGTCACAAAGAGTCAGATGTGACTGAAAAAACAAACAAAAAAGGAAAAATGATTGTGTTCTAAGGAGAGGATGGATTTCAGGAGCTGTTTAAGGGTTGGGAAGGAAACAGGTTGGTGGGTATACTTCTGGGGAAGGACTGAAGGTAGAAATGATAGCGGAGAAAAGATGGGGCGGTAACTGACTAGATATCGGAAGATGACAGAGTATAAAAGTGGGAAGAATCAGAAATTATGGCAAAGATTAAAACATGCAAGATGGGGTGAAAGATGGTGTTACCATCAGATTGTGAAGTCAGAGAGAATTTAAGTGAAGAAAGAGGGGATAAGAGAAAAAAAAAAGACAGTGAAAATCAACCCACGAAGGTACGGAAAACAGCTAGAGACTGGAGGGAATCCCTGACTCCCTCAAATGAGAAGTCAGAAATTTACGTGTGTTCTCACTCTATAAGTATGGCACAAATTATCAGCTGACCACTCCTTTAGTCTGTATGTATCTTGCATACTGTTGCTGAGTTATTTTAGTTATGTCTGACTCTTTGTACCCCCATCTGGGGTTTTCTTGGCAAAGGTACTGGAGTAGTTGCTATTTTCTTCTCCAGCTCATTTTACAGATGAGGAAACTGAGGCAAATAGGGTTGGTGACTTGCCCAGGGTCATGCCTAATGTCTGAGGTGGAATTTGAACTCAGAAAGATGAGTGTTCTTGGACTCCAGGCCTGGCCTCTGTGCACTATGGCGCCACCTAGCGGCCCTACCTTGAACATACTACGCCTAATTATGTATCCGCACTCTTCCACATTAGAAATGTATCATTCTTGGGGGCTGTTTTTGTCTTTCTTGGTATTCCCAGAACTTAGCACAAAGTACCTGGTACTTGTTGACTGACTTCCAGATTAATTTCTTAAAGGATCAGAGGGACCTGGGTCAGCATTAACAAGGTCCCTTGGAGGGCCTGAATCAGGAGGAAGCTTTATGGGGAGAATGATCAGGGGAAATGTCCTCTTTGGGTGGGTCCTATCCAGGTTGGCCATCTCTTGTCTCCTATTCTTTCTGGCCCCAAGGAGTGCAGGCAACTGACACTGTTATTAACCAGACTATTGAAGTGCTTGCCTCCTCTCCCTGCCTCCTCCCAGGGCCTTCCCTACACACTTGTGATTTTCTGAATATTTGAAGGTTTTCTTCGGATTGTTCTGGCTCCAATTCCCGGAGAACTGCCCGGAGTTCCCGGAGAACATTTCCATTCTGTTAACGCAGACCTAGGCTCTTGTTCATCAACTTGGGCCTGGTTTTCCCTCTGCCTTCTTCTCTAGCCAGACTGCTGGCTAAAAGATTCAAATTATATCACAGGAGCAATACGTTTCCACACACTTTCCCGGTCCCTCGGAATTCTGAAGGTGGGGGAGGGGCCGACCTAGCTCGGTGCCAGCCCTCCTAACCTCCAAGGAGAGCAGTTGGAAAACACCTGTGGATTCTGGTGATTGGCTCCCAGGCCTGAGATCCTGGGCCCTTCCAGGATACCTTCCCTGAGTTTTCCTGCTCCTTCAGAAGGAGCTCCACATTTGTCACCTAGCAACCCCCTTTCTTCTATCACTACCACCAAAGTTTTTGGAGAAAGGACGGTAGATTCCATCTCACAGGATTTCTAACTGGAAGGAACCTTGGAAATTCTATTGTCCGTTCCCCTCTTGAAATACCTAACCAACAATAATGTGCCAGGTGCTGTGCTGGGCGTTCAGGGCAGCCCAGAGATAAGTGCCATGCGTGAAATGTTTGTAAAACGAAAGTCAGAGGAGAAGGAAAAGGAAGAGTGGCAGTAGCAGCAGCAGCAGGGGCGGCAGCAGCAGCAGCAGCAGCAGCAGCATACAGGCTCATCGGTAGCAGCAGCAGGAAGAGAAGCAGCAGCAGGCAGAGTAGTAGCAGCAGGAGGAGGAGCCGAAGCAGCAGTAGCAGGCAGAGTAGTGGTAGCCGCAGCAGCAGCAGCAGGAGGAGGAGCACTAGTAGCAGCAGCAGCCTCAGTCCCGGCGGCGGCGGCGGCTGCAGGCAGGGGGTCAGCCGGCTCCGGGGGCTGCCGGGCAGTGCCAGACGGGAGTTGTCGCGCCGGCGGCGGTGGGTCGCCCGGAGAGCAGCGCGCCGGGCTCGGGCTGGGCTCTGGCCGGGCCGCCGCGGTCCGCCCGAGCACGGAGACCCGCATATTTTGCACATGAGTTCAGAGGAAGAGGAAGTATAAGCGGCGGCGGCGGCAGCGGCCGAGGAGGCAGAGCCCGGTGGCCGGCGCCCGGGGCGCACGGAGGAGCGCGCAGCCGGCGCTTCGCCCGGCGGACAGTCCGGCTCGGCTCTGCCCTGCCCTGCCCTGCCCTGCCCTGCCCTGCCGAGCCCAGCCCAGCCCAGCCCAGCTCAGTTCAGCTCGGCGGGGTAGCCCCCGCGCGCCGCCCGCCCCCCCACGCACTTTGCGCGCCCCTTCTCTCCACCCCCGGCCGCGGATACGCAAATTCCCTCCCACGCAACCCCTCCTCTTCATGGCACAAACTTTCCTCCCGGGACAGATCGGGGCAGCGACCGGAGCCGACTCCTGCATCTCCTCTGTCGGCCGGCTCTGAGAGGTAGGGGGGAGCGGGAGGGCAGGGCAGGGCGCCTGGACAGGACCCCCTTCCCATTCCCGGCCCCTGCTGCGAGTCCGCCCCCGTGCTGACCTTGCCGGTGTCTGCCCCACGCGGGACCCTGGGAGCGGAGCGCGCGGCCCCCTGGCAGCGGGCGGCGGGAGCAGTCCCCTGCCCAGCCCCGCCCGTGCCCGTCCCAACTTCTGCCCCCGTTACTCTGGGTCCCGCGCTCACCTGAGCAGCTCGGGCAGGGGCAGCAGGACCCTGGCACTGCCCTCCTGCCTTGCGAGCCCTGGGGCGGCGGGAGGCGAGAGAGGCTCGGGAAATGCTCTCTCTAAACGATTGCTTTCAGCTCTAGAAACCCACCTCTCCCCCTCGGGATAGGGGAGGAGGAGGGTTTGGGGGGCGGTGTATTGGGGAAGGGGGGCGCCCTAGCCCCTCCGACTGCATGGGGAGGAGACCCGGCCACCACATTGGGCTCGGAGAGAGACCTCTGCGCTGTGCGGGCTGGGGTGGAGTCCTTAGCATTGTTAAAATGAATAATAATTTTAAAAAGCCCCGCAAACCTTCCTTTCCTTTAAAAGAAAAGCCGCCGGTGGCCCGCGCCCAGCCTGTTGCAGCCTCGGGGTTCCTCCGCCGAAGGGTCCGTTTCAGGGCCGTCCCACGCCCACCTTTCCCGGGCACCCTCCACCCCTCCCCCGCCTGCCCTTTGGGAGTGTTGCCCAGGGCGTGCTTGTAGTGCGGGAGGAGAATGTGACCAAGGCGAAGGAGCTATCGTTGCGTGCCCCCACTAAAAAACAAAACATTTCACTGCGAGCCCCCGGGGGACTGTCTGGCCCCCCGGTCATTTCTTGGAGGGCTGGCTCGAGGGACTGGTTGTGGGTGGTTTCAAGAGAACCAGGGTGATGTCAGACTGTTTGGGTTTTTTTTTTAACTTTTATAAAATATGGATCTTCCAGGAATGGCCCAAATCCCCATATTTGTGGGATGAGTCTGGTTAGCAGAAACAGTCAGTCCTGTAATGGTTACAGCTGTTTTAGGCTGTCGGGCTAAGAGCGGAGCCGCCTCGTGCCTCCCAGCCCCTGCCAGCAGCTCACCTCGAGGTAACTTAGAGCCTCCAGGAAGGAAGCCAGAGGTAACACGAGCAGCCTCTGAGGTGCCCAGAGCAAGGCTAGCATGCCCCGGGACCCGTATGCCATGCCCGGTGACATTTGCTTAGGGCCCCAGTCAATCCCAGTGACTTGGGGAACTTTGGGAGAAGTTCAGAGGATTTCCCCCAAGTTCCATGGAAGGGTTAAGGGAAGGCAGCGTTGCAAGAGACTGATTTAACCTTAGGGAAATTACTTTAAGTTTTGGAATATGACCTCTCAACCCCTCCTTGCCTCTGTAGTTAAGTGGCTCAGAATTAGTAATTGAAGGCTTAGGTTGGCATATAATAATAACTCACATTGATGCGGTGCTTTGAGGGTTAAAAAAAAACTTTCCTTGCAGCAACACTGAGATAGGTACTATTTTTATTAGTAGTATTAATTATAACTCACATTTATACTGTCCTTTAAGGATTAAAAAGTTTTCCTCACACCACTGTGAGGTAAGTATAATGATCATGATAATGGACATTATGTAACACTTTTAAAGTTTGCAAAGCACCCTGTGCACCTAGGTGGTGCAGCGGGTAGAGCCACACAGGCCTGGAGTCAGGAAGTTTCATCTTTCTGAGTTCAGATTTGGCCTCAGACTTACTGGCTGTCTAGGGCAAGTCACTTAACCTTGTTTGCCTCAGTGTCTTCATTTGTAAAATGAGCTGGAGAAGGAAATGGCCAACCATTCTAGAAAACTCCAGATGGGGTCAGGAAGAGTCAGACAGGGCTGAGCAAAAGCATCGACGTTATCTCATTTGAACCACGACAACGTTGTGAGGCAGGTGCTTTTTATTATCCCCATTTTACAGACGGGGAAAGTGAGAGGTTTGGTGTCTTATCCAGAGTCATGCATTTAGTATCAGAGACCAATAAACAATCAGAGATAGGGTCTGAAACCAGGTTTTTCTGATTCGAAGTTCACTACTCTATGTTATTTCTTTATACTATCCTGCTGCCTCTCCAGTTTGAGTATTTTACAGATAAAGAGTATTGAGGGTCGTTGGAAGAAGCTAGCCTTTTTTCTACTCTTTCTCTTTTTTTAATGAGCGCCCACATTGATGTTTCAAGCACTGACAGCATCATTAGGACAAATTCAAAGTTTACTTGGTGAATTTAGTCCAAATTGCCAAGTAGAACAATTTAAGTATAAGATGTAAGAAATTATCTTTTGCCTCATTCATCATTATTAGTTAATAAGATGGGGTTCATTAAATGGGAATTATTGACTCAGGTGTGTATAAAACTTTATAGAGGAACAAGGAAGGGAAGTCTGTGCATTTCCAGTTTGCTTCTAAACTTCAGTTTGCGGTAGGTTTGAACCTGGGCTGGGGCTCCATACCAGCTCTCTTTCTTGACAGGCCAGAGGAGAATCATGAAAGGGCTCAAGTGAAACTTGAGAAATTAATTTCCCTGCCTGCATTCATTCCTTATTAACTGCTGACTGTGTCCCATGCACTGTGGGAGTCACTGGAGGGAGGTACAGAGTTAAGGAAGGCCTGGTCCTTACCCTGGAGATGTTACAGATTTGGGGCGGGCACCCTATTAAGCTCTTTTAAGCAGGTGAAAATGAAACTATTCTATTTTAGAGCTTCCGTAAAGGGGATTCTACAAGGGAAAGTACCCTTGACCTGAAAGAGATTCGTCTTATGTTTTGGGGGAAATCCACCCCCAGACAGTTTTCTGCCTAGAAACATCTGTGTACTTTTCCACCTTAGTCTGTGTTAGTCCAGGCCTTGTCTGGGATTCCCTTTGGACTTCACTAGCCTGGGCAGTTTGGCAGAAGGGTATTTCATGTTTCAGGGGCGACTGATCGTTTCTGGCCTGTTCTCTGTAGTTCTATTTAAATGATTGGTGAACTTTAAAACTTCCATATAAGGAACTAGGGTTCTTACTGCTGCCACTGTACCAGGTTATTTTATATTCATGGGGCAAGGGCTGACACTTTGGAAACTCCACATTGGCCCTTTGCCCCGCTTTATAGCTCCTAACAGTTGGGTGTACCGTCTGAACCAAAATCCAGATGACTGTAATAGATTCAGTGCATAGCACTTAGTAGGTACTTAATAAATGTTTATTGACTTAACTAATTGATTGGTTGACAGTCTCCCGGACCTCAGATGACTTCTAAGATTCTATGATTTTATAACCTGTAGACTTCTCCTAGGGTAGATTTTCACTCATGGGGGCTCTGGATGTTACTGGAGATCTCTTGTGGGGATAGAGAAGGGATAGTTTGGCATAGGAAGGAAGGAACCATGGTCTGTGGTTATTTCCAAATGTTAGGTGATCTTGGTACCCCTCTCCCCCCTTGCCCGTTTGTTTTTTTAACCAGTGTCTGGCAACAAATGATAATAAACCTCATATTTTACAAGGTTCTTTTTAAAAACATTTTTTTTGGTTAGGCAGTGGAGTTAAGTGACTTGCCCAGGGTCACACAGCTAGTTAAATGTTATGTGTCTGAGGCCAGATTTGAACTCAGATCCTCCTGAATCCAGGGCGGGTACTCTATATACTTCGTCACCTAGTTGCCCCGACAGGGTTCTTTAAAATTTACAAAGCAGAGAAACCCAATGGGATAGATGCTTTTATCTTCATTTTATAGATGGGGAAACTGAGGCTAAATGACTCATCCACATTCACATAGCTGGCAAGTGTCTGAGGCGGGATTTGAACTCAGGTCTTGCTGACTCCAGGCCTGGTGCTCTATCCACCATGCCATGTAGGGTAGTGTGAGCATTCCAGAAAAGCATGATGGAAATTTCTACCTCTTAACCAAAAATAAACAGCAAGAAGTGGAAGGAGGTCTAGACCTATGGAGAATGCCCTTCGCCACATTATCTTGGAAAGTAACCTAGGGATGAAGGATGAACATTAGTCAGTATATGTCAGAGGTTGGATTTGAACCCAGGTCTTCTGGGCTCCCAAAGCTGCTAAACCATGCTCTCTGTTCCCTTTTCCGGGCCACTGCCAGGTTTTTTCTGAAGGCCCCCAGTTGGAGATCTGTTAAGGGCTGGCTGGGCATTTGTGGAAATGCTAATCTACAAGACTTTTTAAAAAGTATTATTGATTAGGAAGTCTTGTCTCTTCAAAAGCAGAGCATCCCCAGCTGTCCAGTCTCAGCTCTTAGATGTTCAGTAGTCATGTTTTCCTTTCTTCAGCTGAAAAGAAAAAAGAAAACTTGGCTCCAATTTGCATTTACAAGAGGAAGATGTAGCCAAACATTCTTTTTGATATTTATGGTTTTTTTTGTTTTCTCTGTGTGATATTTTCTCCAGTTTTCTCAGATCCTGTTTTTTTGGGTTTTTTTTTTTACATCAAATGATTTTTATTCTGAGATTCATGGTTCCAAGTCAGTGCCTCTCCTCATTTCCCTTAAATATACACACTTTGTAGAATTATAGAGCTTGAGCTAGAAGGGAACCCCGAGGTCATCTGATCCAGCCTCCCACTCCATTTTCCAGCTGAGGAAACTGAGGTCCATAGAGGCCAAAGGATTTGCCTAAGTTCACACAGGTGATAAATAGTGAGGGTGAGATTTAAACCCATATTCTCTGACTCCCAGATCCAGTGCGTTTCTTTTTTATTCTTTACATTTTGATTTTTAAAATTCTGAATTTGACAGATTTCCAATAAGCACGAACGTTTCCATATGCAAAGAAAGAGAGGAAAGAAAAATAATCATGATTATATAAGAAATGGGGAATTTCTATTAGGTTCATTTTTTGTTTTAAAAAGTATATAATAAATTCATCCCATTGGTTTCAAGGCTTTTCTGCTTGTTGGTATCTGCCTCTGAATTTCCTTCTGTTCTTTTGTGCTTTTTAGATGCTTCCAAGATCCTTCACCCCTCGCCTTTTGAAG